TAACGCAGGAGAAATGTATTCACCATCAGGACAGGATCTTGAACACATCGTGATAGTCTTGTTCATTCCAATAATGCTTTCTTTGTAGGGAGTATTATACCTCTGATGACACTGGCCAAGATAACAAGGACTGAGCTGGCAGTGGGGGGCTAGTGCAGCACAGAAATGCAATTCTCTATCAGTAGCCCTAGTATAAATGCCACGATATTTCTACAACTAATAGAGGAGAATAGGCCGATGATTCTCCAAACTACCATTTTCCAAACTGGAGTGGGGACAGTAATAGAGATTAGTGGTCAGCTTTAGTGCGGGTTTGCCATGTCGCTTAAGTATCCAAGACTGTTTATGTCACAGCGGGAACATTAAAGTCTTGTCTGGGCGCTTAATGAGCAGATGCCAATCAATATAGTATGATCCGTGCACTGTAGTTAAAAGCCAATACTGAGAGGAAGTTGGCCAGGCCTAATACAACAGTCTCATCAGCATTAAACATGGCTGGCGGAGGCTCAAAATGACAACATTCGGAATAAATTACAGTTTATTTAGCTTGTTCCAGCCAACTCACCCTTGTCCATTGGTATTATCTTTGTTTGCTTTGCTTCACTAAAGTGCCAGAATCTGTTACAAGTTCAACAGGCACACATTTTCATTTTTCTTTTATTTGTATAGACATGTCGATAATGTCTGCTGTTATTTCCGAGATGATTTAACAACTCAATATTGCTCGAGTCCGGAGGGCATACTTATCTTGTTCTCCAAAAGGTGGACTGTTCAGAAATCATGTATCACAGTAATTACAGTCAGATATACACTGTTGGACTTTTTGGTCAAAAACTATTTTTTCCAGGACTTATTGAATCACTTCTTCAAGACCATTATGGTGCAGTAAAATTATTTTAACATACCAACATTTGCGCTTTTGTCTTCTCCTCTTGTCAATCATAGCTAGCTGTCGATCACATGTCTAAAACCCTATCCACTTTTCAACTCCAGAAACTTTTATTTTTCTTGTTTTGGAAGAGTTGAGTTATCGGGGACGGTACTCTTAAGGGGAAAAGGGTGGCCAGCAAAATATACACGCCAGATTTTACAAGAGGAAATTTTAAGTGCAGTTAATTTTACTCGGGCAGATTATTACTTGTTTGGGGTCTGGACCTAATCAGGTATCCATGTGTTGTCCACCATGGATTTAACAGGAATTCTGGGGCCCTCGGGTAGGGAAAGTTTATAGGAAAGACGATTGGTAAAACAGTATGTGGTAATTGCTTTGAAGTTTGTTGTTTTGTTTTGTCAGGAAAACAGTGAGGACACGACTGATAGTAATAGCACTGATTCATTTCGGAAAGCAAGGCTGTGGTCATATGTTAAAGATCTTATATTAGGCTAAATTAACTCTTGTGAGCTTTAGTTAGAATGTTGTTACCTTATCAAAAACACACCTGGAGTTGTGTTTTGTTCCATTCAAACATGTTTCAGTAATCCTGCATTATTAGTCTGTCTACATTATTTAGTATTTTCCGTTGGAGAGAAGAGCTCAGCGTAAATATGCAGGATTTGTGTGTTTTGACGAGGAAATAACATATAACACAGATCAGAAAACAGCGCATTACGGGCCCTTTCACTGTGGAGCATGTGCTAACCCAGCCTTCGGATCTTCTGTGAGAGTATTTATTTTAACAAGCCAAATGATACTTCTAGTTCTCTCCGAAAGGTTAAGGTTAAATTATTCGCTCTTGTAAGAAAAACATTGGGCCTGGGAGGTTAGGTGGAGGGAAGATGCCGATATAATTTTAGCTCAAGTGAAGACATAAGTTGTAGAGACATGCTGCTCGTGTTAATAAGTAAAATATAGTGTTTAGTGTTGGGTCTAAACATCTGGACACTTGAAACTGTAGCACAAAAATCAACGAAGTAAAATGAGAGGACTGGGGGTTATGACAAATCAATCATTATTTTTCCTCATACTGATCATTCACTATTTTTTTATTCAGTTTAACATTTTTCCTCCAAACATCTGAACTCAGCTCCAAATCCCACGTTTTTCACTGACAGATTATTGACAGTGAACTTCTCAATTATAAATAAACATTCAACCATATCACTGATGATTAAAAATGACTGGACCTCAGTTTATTGATTTACATTTAATTATATACAAAACCCTGTGAGGTGATTTTATTCAGTAATACTAGTAGTAATAGTAGTATTAATAGTATGCAGTAATAGTAGTGGTAGTAGTAGCAGTAGTAGCAGTCCCGTTGACAAAAATCTGAGGGCCAGGAACAAGAAGACTCACATGTGCCCCCTCTAATATTAATTAGTAGGAAGAGGTTCCAACTCTGGGCCCCTAAGACCAGGGCCCAGGACAACAAACCCCTTTGCCCCCTTCTGCTGACTCACCTGAGTAGTAATGGTAGTAGTAATAGTAGAAGTAGTAGTGGCTAGAGGTCTGCGTGGGATAGAATTTTCAGTCCCGCTCCCGCCCACATCTGTGATATTTTGTCCCGCTCCGCCTGCAAGTCCCACAGGATGGGGACATTCACTTTCTGAAGTTCTATCAAACATGGAGAAGCGGAGAGGAATTATCTAAAATATGCACAAGATAAGCCCACAAATGTAGGCTGCTTAAAATGTTTTTATTAATGCCAAATAAAATATCCATCATTTGTGTATTTTACTTTACACTCATATTTAGTTTGCAGGACTGCAGTTTATCATCCTACCCACCTGCTCCCGCATTGTGCTGTCCCGCTCCCGCCCGCTCCCGCAATGAGCTTTCAAAATGTGTCCCGTGCAGCAGTGTTTTGCATCGGGTCCAGTGCATGGCTCTAGTAGTGGCAGTAGTAGTAGTGGTAGTAGTAGTAGTAGTAGTAGTAGTAGTAGTAGTAGTAGTAGCAGTAGTAGTAGTAGTAGTAGTAGTAGTAGTAGTAGTAGTAGTAGTAGTAGTAGTAGTAGTAGTAGTAGTAGTAGTAGTAGTAGTAGTAGTAGTAGTAGTAGTAGTAGTAGTAGTAGTAGTAGCAGTAGTAGTAGTAGTAGTAGTAGTAGTAGTAGTAGTAGTAGTAGTAGTAGTAGTAATAGTAGTATTATAACCACTGCTTTTTGCTTCTTGTGACAGATGACCGATGACATATACTTTATCATCTAATTTCAAAGGTCTGCACTGACTGACTAACTGAGGTCAATTTGTTAGTCCCTGTATTTGTTAAGGCAGCCCTGAAAATTATCCCAATATATCATAAAACTATAAATACTTTTTCCACCTCTAATTCACCTCTAATATCCATTTGGTCTCTAGTCTGTATGCTGCAGTGCCGAAGAATTTACAAAACAGACAGGCTTATTTTCTAATGAGTTCGTGCATGTGCTTTTAATGAAAACGAAGAGCAGTGTAATTACATTGATGGATGTGGAATGAAAAGAAGAATTTACTAAAGTACTATTTGTCAAATTCAATTGTCATCTTAGACTCTGCTCTGCCCTCAGACCCCCTATCAAATTGTCACTGAGGAGCCCCCCTTTCATTGGTCTTGTTAAACAGTCTATATGGGATAGCTTGTTTAAACCCAAGACAGCATAGAATTAAAGAAAAAAGAGAACTGCCAGCGAAATAAAGCATTCTGTTTAACCACAGGCCACAGTTATGCCTCTAAGTCCAAACTGAAAAGTGGCTGTTATTCCACATAAAACAACACGTACCCTAAGTCATTTTCCTTTTCATGAAACTGCAAAAAGCTAACCCCAAATTAAAACCATGTTGCCATTCAAAATATAAAATGAAAAACCAATTAAATTTCAAGCGTATTATCATCAGCTCCCCCCACACAAACACACACACACACACACACATGCACACACACACACGCACAAGCATTTTTTAATTCACACCATATTGCTTGTTACGCTGTAAAAGCAATAAGAAATGTTTTTAAAGAAGTCAACTATTCTTGTTTTGTTTTGAAAATTTGCTAAGACAGTGACTAGTTGTAAGGTACTTTTTATTTAGGTTATTCTGCCCTTACTAAAAAGTGTAAAAAAAAAAAAGTAAAAAGGTTTTTGCTTTTTATAATTTATTGCCCCAATAAGTCCACTGTCTTAAGTCTGCTTATCATTTGCTCTTTATTTTGGTGAATTGTAGCTGTGTAAAACTGTTTTACACTGAAGTTTACAGATGGGAAAAATTGTTTAAAAATGTAACGGCAATTATTCAACATTGTCAAACCACGTTGGGCATTTTGTGTGTTAATATTCAAGTCATACTTCATCTTAATGACATATAAATCTGTTAACATTTCTGTCACACTTCAACCACAGCTTGACTGTGCTTCTGCTGCTGACAATAAAAAGAACACCAAATGCAATCCAACTAGCAGTGCATTTTTCATTTTACAACACTTATGTCTGCTTGTACGGTGTAGCGAGCTGGCATCGCGCTATGACTGTTGCAATCCTGAAATGAAAGAAGGGCATTCAAAATATAAATATGTAGGTTAGTCAGCTCTGGGTCTGGCAGACAATTACAAGCATGTGAAACAGCCTGTTGTGAGTGGTGGATTTTAATGAAAAAGTCATTCCTGGGCATTGGAGGGAGCTGGCTGCAGGCTGTTTGTCCATGGCTTGGGTTTCTCCTTGTAATAAACGTGCAGGGGCTTAAGTGTTGTGGAACAAGTCTATCACACACCTTGAAGGCAGGTCAACGGTCTGGGGAACTTCTTGTCCACCCCAAAACCTTGCTACCTTAAGAAAATGTTTTTAGAAGAGTCCTATTACCTTTGTCTTGAACTTTTATATTTTTGTTGCATATTCAGCCTCTATTTTATGTACTCCCACGCCATCAAGCGATCAATCACACACAGACACTGGGAAAGACATCCATGGGAAAGAAAGTGGACGTATCCGCACATGAAATCCTCTGTGAAAAGTAGATGCCCAAATACTAATAGACAAAACATACAGGCTTCAAACACAATATTTTGCATTTATCTGTTTGTGTTCTCTTCCAGACTGCGGTGGATCCAGACAGCGGGGGATGGAGCGGTATTATGAAGCTTACGACTTGTATCTGTGCAATTTGCCAACCTTAAACCTTTTAAAGGAAGTCAGACCCTGAACTTTAGTGGCTGACGAAAAAGCAGAGAAGATTGACAAAGGGAACATATTGGACCAGTTGTGGAGATGAGGTCGTCCGTGTGTGTGGGCCACCCCTCCGGCCTCCTGCTGGTCTTGGTGTGCTGTCCCCTCTTGGGCCTTGTACAGTCGGCCAGCAGTAACAAAGCCAAAGACCCTCACCTTGGAGAATCCGACCCACAGAGGTGTATGAGGCACCACTTCGTAGAGACCATCACGCACCCCATCTACAAGTGCAACTCCAAGGTAGGACATTTCACGTGACTCCACTTCGTCTATGATGGTAACAGGGTGAATACAGGATCAGTTTTTCAATACTTTCTTCAAGATTTTAGGGTTTCAAGTCATAACAGACCTTTATCAGACACTGGCTAACTGTGAGATATCAGGTCCAGAGCTAGGACCTTGAAGTCCTTGAGAAAAGTAGGTAATTTAGTATGGTATAATACAGTATAGTATATTTAGTAAACTATATCACATACTGGTAGAAAATACTTGTTAATGCTTTCTCTTTGTCAGCTTCACCAGTGGGTTCTATTGCATTTGTCCCTGTGTAGGAGTGTTGTAAAAGAACTGTAATACATTTTGAAGTCTATGATCCTTTTCCATGAATGCCATCTCATCAGGTAACAGTTTGCTTTATTCCACTTGGGTGTGAACTTACTTCCACAGAAACAAGTTGTTTAAGGTAACAGTCAAACTGACAAATGAACAAGAGGTAATTTGCTCAATTTGTCCAAAACGTCGTCTGTTCCAAACAGATGCACTGCAGTTGCTCTGCCAGAAAGCCTCCCTCCAGTTCTGAACTCTACAACTGTGAGTGGTGTACTTATGACTACTATCTCTTACAGCCCCAGCGGGTTCCTGCTCTTTGCTCTCTCCAAGCCGAGGCTCTCTCTCTCACTGTTCTTTCCTGGCTCTGTCCCTGGCCCTGTCCCTGTCCCTGACCTAGGTTCTGTCCCTGTTCCTGGTCTTGTCCCTGGTCCTGTCTCTGGTCCTTCCCTGGTCCTTCCCTGGCCCTTCCCTTGTCCTGTGCCTAGTCCTTTCTTGGTCCTGCCCGTGGCCCTGTCCTTGGTTCTGTCCCTGGTCCCTGGTCCTGTCCTTGGTCCTGTCCCTGTCCATGGTCCCTGGCCCTGTCCTTGGTTCTGTCCCGGGTCCTGTCCCTGGTCCTTCCTTGGTCCTTCCTTGGTCGTGTCCCTGTCCCTGGTCCCTATCCCTGGTCCTGTCCTTGATCCGGTCCTTAGTCCTGTCCCTGGTCCTGTCCGTGGTCCTGTCCCTGGTTCTGTTCTTGTTCCTGTCCCTGGTCCTTCCTTGGCCCTGTCCCTGATCCTGTCCCTGACCCTGTCCCTGGTCCTATCTCTGGGTGTCTCTGGGCATCTCTGGGCGTCTCTGGGAGTGCACTGGACGTGTGTTCTTCTGGACAGGGGCCATACTGCAGTCTCAGAGGGGGTGAGCTTTTGGCCGAGGCACGCGGCGCACCTCAGCCCTGTGCTGTCAGCCGCTGCCAGAGAGACAGGCCCACACAAAGGGAATGTGGAGAGTGGCCTAATGGTTCTGAGGCGTGCTTCTTCCTCTTAATTTGTCAAACGAGTGAATACTTTATGCAAACAGACCGATGGCTTAGCCAAAGCCAAGGACGTCATTGTTTTTGCTGAAAATGGATGTCAGTTTTCCTTTCCATTCCTGTTGCTTTAGCACAGTTATTCTTGCTGCATGAGTGATCACTTTTTCTGCTCTTTTTAAAAATCATTGGACTGAGTGCACATAGCAGGTGGCCAAACCATAGAACAAGCAGGCCAGGGAAGGGCATATTAAACTCACAGTGGAGCTGTATAACTGTCAGACACTTAGAATAACCATATCTGCACAAGCTTTCACAACTAAAGCACAATATGACAAGTAGGCTTATAAATTATTGTCTGTTACATTAAATCAAAGATGAAACCTTCAGCAAGCCCTCTGTAGACACTATTTTCTGATTAGTGGACAAGTACAACACATGTGCCATGTGCATGCTTTGTTTCTCACTGCTCTGTAATCCAGATAAACAAACATTTATAATAAGATAAGAGGCTTTTAATCTATATATCATCTATGTGATCAAGTATCATCAGTTTACACGGGCCAAAAGGGATGATATGATTATGAAAACTGTACTTCAAATTATGCTGAACAGTCAAAAGGCCTTCTACTTTAAATCCTATATAAGGTACTGGACTTCCCCAGCACAGGCTTAACTTGTTATGAATGAAAGAAGATCAGAGGGAGAGGTGCCGACAGACCACAGAGGAGAGCAGGGACAGTCCTGTCAGACTGGGCACTGTCAGTGTCAGACAGCTTGATCCTCAGCTGGACAAAGACAAATGGACTTAACGTGGCGACATGGCTGCTGTTGGCTTGGGTGTCCCTGCCGCGGCCCCAGACAGGCTTTGGCATGAGTGGTCCATGGACAGGACAGGCAGCAGCTGACAGAGGACACAGAGCTGCTGAGGGAGGAGACAGGAATGTGGTGACCCACTGAGGCATGCGGGCTGGCGGTCAAAACACTGATCACAGAGAGGCTATGTGTCAGCTGATTGGACAGGCTTAAGGAGAGAGTCAGCTCTGCTCTCTCACAGTGCAGTGTGCCATGATACCTTCATTTAGAGACAATAGAGCTGTGCATGGTGATAAATAACACGGCTGTGGCTCCTCAGGACCTGTCTGGATCTGGAGACTGTTCTTGAAGTCTGACAGACACTGTTACATTCAACCTTTTCCAATCAACAACACCATATGATTTTGATTATCATTTCTATTGCAGTTCTGACACATTAAATTTCTCTCTGTCTAGCATTTTCTGCATGTTTTACATAGGAAATTATTATCTTGGCTATAGGGCACAGCTCTTTATGTTTCCTTTACTTATTCTGGTTTTATTGCCAACATTTCTATCACTGACTGTTTAGATCTCCACTCTCAGTCCTTGGTTAGACTTTTAATTCCGTAAAGCACTTTATGAAGATGAAGAGCATAATAGTCTTTCTTGGCAATATGGAAATGTGGTCTTGAAATTACATCCTTGAAGGATTCCATATTGGATCCATTTGAATGGACTGTGTAATAACTGATAAAGTCTTGGTGGTCATTACAGCTGTCAACTTAGCCATTTTATATGTCTCTCTTTGAGAAGACCTTGGAGGGCAGTAAATGTTTCCTGTCCTGGTTAACTTTTCTAAAGCTATGAGCCCGGGTGGTGGGTGGAGTTTTCTATATCATTTTATATATGAACTTTAACCATGCTAAAGGTTTTAATAACACTCCAATGACACATAGAAAATCCTAATATATCAATGATGGATTGTAATGATGTATAATTACAAGACTAGTTAAACCAAGACGCATTTGACACCCCAATGAAACTTAGACTTTAATTCCAGATGTTTCCACAGTCTTTTTGTTTTGTCCATACCAAGACATAAGATATACATGTATCTAAATAGCTGTTTAGGTAAGGGTGTGTCTAAAGTACTGATACTGATTGAGTGATACAAATACTTATTGCTACTAGAACTTGAATAGATAATAATCACATAAACATGATATTGTACAAAACCACATAGTCATAAAATTGGGTTGGAAGTCCATTGTCTAAAAGGAGTTTTGGGTGTTTTCCTATTGAGTTTGAAATGTTAACCTCATGACAACACAAATCTAGATTGTTCATAATGAGGTGAAAGTTGACAGACCATACACCATAACGTATGTGCTACTCAGTGTTGATGCTGAGCCAAACTGTCTTGTAAGTGGTGAAGTTGGTGAAAATAAGCACCCAAACACAGAGAACAGTTAATATTCAAATACAGAAGTCCCACCATGAAGCAACTAGTACTGTGAAAAGATATTTGGCCTTAGGCACTGTCCACAACAGAATGTAGGAGTGACTGTCTGCTCTCGTTCTATCTTTCAGTTTGCAGGTGCAAGGTCAAACATCTCAACAATCACTCAGTTCAACACAAAAACTGATTTAGGCAGCGTGGTGAATGAGAACTCGATGAGAAGGATCCGGGTTCACCCCCTGTCCACCCTCTGGGCACTCCAGTTTCTACAACCAACTTAAAACATGCACAATGTACATGTACTGTACAATAAAATCTTGACCAAGCCTAGCTCAAAATCTGAAGAGGAGACCCACAGCTCCTGGCAGGCAGCTTCAGTGGCAGTAAAGGATCAGTCAAATAAAAATAGGGCACACATTTCCCTACAAGTTCAATGACCTTATATTAGCACTTTTATACAGTACTTACTCCCTTAATGTTCATGTTAATGCTCAGTACAAGTCAATGAAGAATTTAATCCATATTTCAAACTGTGCTTTCAGATGGTGTTGCTGGCTCGCTGTGAAGGTCACTGCAGCCACACGACTCGTTCGGACCCCCTTATCTCCTTCAGCTCAGTGCTCAAACAGCCCTTCAAAAGCACCTGCTCCTGCTGCCGTCCACACACGTCCAAGCTGAAGGCCGTGAGACTGCGTTGTAGCGGAGGGACTCGGATCACCGCCACGTACCGCTACATCCTGGCCTGCAACTGCGAGGAATGCAGCTGAGCACGGACTGGCGACCTCACAAGGCTGTCCAAACGGGGCTCCGGCCTTCCACTCTCTAAAGGATGCTTGTCGCTATCTTAGAAGTGATCATATTTCCGCCAAACTTTGAATCCATCCGTTAAATTGATCCACAGCATTTGGGATGTCCTCTGAGAACATGCACTCCACCCTCTCTGCTATACTATCATTTAGAAACTTCATTGTCTGCTTTCAATCAATACAAACCAAATGCCGTGTTTCCCTGCAGCAAACCAAGGCCAGACAGTACAAAGAAAAAAAAAAAAATAGAAAACTAGTTCCCAGGGGAGCACTCCTTACTGCAGAGCCCATTGTAATTCATAACACACTCACGGTTCACAGATCAAGATTTCATCGCTAAATGTTGGCAAAAGTAGTCCATAAAATACCACCAAGTATTTGACAACAAAAACAAGGCTTGTTAAAAAAAGGCGGCATGAGGAAAAAGATAAGGAGGACATGTGGTGGATCTTTTGAGGGAGCACCTGCGTCGTGTTTGGTTGCACGGTATATTTTACAGACTCCACGCTGACTTTGAACGCACCGTGTAAAACATGACTGACACAGACAGGAGAGCTCTTCAGGTGAGTAATAAAGATACAGAGGCAGGCAGTAAAGGAGGCTTTGCCAGTCTCAATGTGGTGTTTAAAGACTCTACTATGGACTGTTACATATTATTGTATTTCAATGTAAGTGATGTTTCTGTCAATATTAATAAACATGTAAGTATAACTGTGCCAAATCCATAATCTGCTTTTGTGTAGGCCTATTGCTACCAGTGTTCGTTGTTACAAGGAAAACTCAAACCAGTGGTGTGGTGAATTGCTTACATGTGACACTAGCTCCTGATGTTTATTTTTGTAAAAAAAAAAAAAAAAAATCTCCAACGATATAACTGTATTTATGGACCATTGAGCATGTTCACTGCAGAGCATATTATATTCATTGGTGTAGGTGTATCACTGTAAGCCCAATGCCTTTACGACGCTACATGGATAAAAACTTAATGTTCTGAAAACAGCCAATAAAGAAATGCTATCTATGTTGTAACAAGCCTGAATTTTGTAGTCTATGTGAAGCCTCTAATGTGAAGAATCAGTGAGCAAAGTTATTTCAGATGTACCATGTCTAGAAAATGCATGTAGGATTATTGGTTGGGTTACATTCTGACAATTACGTTTCACTGTAACACACAGATCCCCTGCATGCATGGTAAGAAACCAGGCAGTCCCGCGGTAACACAAGAAGGGCATACTGGCTCCACAAGCTCTGAACTATAAACATTGCTTTAGTTTGGTCTCCATTACCACATTGTTTTAATTCAATTTCCTTAGATTCTAATGCCAATTTGGATACTGTTCAACCTATTCAAGACCTAAACATATTGAACAAGCATAATAATGTGGTTACTGGACTGTTGAAACATCAAATACCTAAACTATATAAAAACAACCTCTTTTAGGGGCTTTGTGTTTCATTTCATTCACAAATGTTCAAAAAACAAACCCTGCATATATAGTTTTTTCTCTCAAACAGAAAACACTCTGGTCCATCATGTACAAGGAAGAGGCACTGCTCCAATGTGTTTTCAAACTCACCTTCACCTTCACTAGAATCATTTGAATGATTTCAGCCCAGAATTGACCGTCGTTACTGAAAAAAAGATAAAAGGTAACTGTTAACTTGAAAACTACCACTTCATGACATCACAAGGTGAAACAGAGCATTTTGAACTTTGGAGTTGTAAACAAATTAATAATAAAGATTCCTCAAACATGTGTGAATGGAACAAAACACAACTCCAGGTCTGTTTTGGATGAGGTAACAGCATTGTAAAATGACTTAAAGCTCATACAAGTGAATTTTGTGTAATATAGGATCTTTAACCCATGTTTAGGATAGTTGCACCATCATATAGTTTGTCTGCCTTTCACTGTGGACTCTTTGAAACTCTGAAGTGAAATGTGTAGCTTAAAATGACAGTTAAACATTTGGTATGGCAGGTAATGTGACAGTAATGTATTTACATGAGCCAGGCCTTTCTTTGATGCAGCTATTTCACTGTCATTGCACATGTATGTTAAACTATGGCTGTTTTCTTTGTTGAGCAGTAAATCAGCTCCTTGCCGTCTTTCAGGTTTCTAAGAGGTCTTGCGTATTCACATGCACACTTCTGTACACATGTTTTACCTTCTGATGTGCCCTGCTGTTCCTGTAGACATTTCAATCCATAGTGCACCTGACAGCACGCCCGCCCGCCTCACATGTGATCCTAATAAAGTACTTTAAGCTTCACGTCGCAAGATTAATCTGCCTTTTTTAGCTGTCTCCTCTCACTGTGAAGCTCCTTTATCAGCACACAAGCTCTCAGTTGTGGCAGGCTTTTGGTGACATGAAGCAAAGGGTGTAGTCATTATGGAAACTACTATGACATAAGAGTGGCATAATGGGTGTCATATTGATGTTTACTGACCATAAATGCATGTCAAATTAAAGAACATAACCTATATCAAATATGCTTTTCCAGGTGTTAGACATACGGGTGCATATGTTCCTTTTATGGCTTTATCCTGCCGACATCACACGTTCATTCTTCATCTTTCCTAATCATAACCATGCAAGCGTTTCATAAAGTTCTTGCTAAAGGAGGGGTTTTTATTGGCTCACACTATAGGTGCAGTCTTGTTAAAGAGGAATTCACATCTGTGTGTTAAGCACTGCATTAAGATGCCAGACGTGAGAAGAACAACAGGCGTGTGGCTGCAGATTCAATAGCTCCATACAAAGGGTCTATATTCAGCAGCACTGAGCAGCACAGAAGGGACATTAACACAGTGAATAACTGACCAGGGCTCAAGGATTTACACAAACATGACAAAAGCACTATTTTCTTGACTAAAGAAAATCACCAAATGCAATTTCAGGCGTTGCACAGCCAACTGTAAAAGACTATAATGCATTGTTTTATTCCAATAATAAAAGTCACCAATCTGTAACAATAACATCAATAGCATGGCCTTGTTTTTAGAATGCAAACATTCAGAACCAACGTAGTCTTGCAAGAGTGGCCCTCACAGAGACAGGAAAGACAGACAGAATTGTTTTTAGGCTGTTGCTGCCACCTACTGGCAAATGTGGCCTCTCACGGTGTGATTTGCAAGTGTGTATAAATGCAATAATGCTTATAAATGCAATGTAAAGTAAAGCACAAGGAAGAATATCCTAGGAGCAGTTGTGCAGAACAGACCCATAAAATAAAACACTCATAAAAAGTAATGTTTTGAATCTAAACCTGTGATTTTTTTAAACTATAAAACCACTAATATCACTGGCTAATGAATAATACATTACATTAATGGTGAACTATGTAAGCTTTTAGGGGAGAATTTGCAGCCTCATCTCCATGGACTAGTACTCTTCTCACACTAACTGGCCTGCGACAACCAAAGATATTCATCTTTCTGAGTGCCATCTGATCAGGGCAAAACTCAGTCATACCAAATGATGACCAAATGACCAAAGAAGAATAAAATATGAATATGATTTAAAAATAACTAAAATAAAACTGGACATTGCAGAGTCACAATCCACCAGAAGGTGCCTGTGTACCACGAGTGGTACTTGAACCACACATTGAGAACCACTGAGTGTAACGTGTGTTTACATTCATACAGTGAGGAGTTTGCATGTTAATAGTGGCTCACAGCGTGGATTAGCCCATAAAGGCAGATTAGGATTAAAGATGATGAACATGCTTTTGTTTACCAAGCACTGGGGCAGCTCACTGGACTACATGTGTAGCACTTACCTCCTCCTTTCACCAGGGGGATGCCCAAAGACAATGGTCTGCTCTCTACAATAAACAGAAAGACTTGTTATGAACAAGTCAAAGTCCTGACATTTTATTGCTTTATGACACTAATTTCCACCATTCTACACGAACTGTGTAATGTTAACTATTAACAGTATTTAATAAGCGCTAGACTCTGGGGGGATAAATGATAAAATGATAAGAAGATTTAAACAAAGAGCTTTGTTTAACAGAGCTCTAATAACAAGTAACATGTAGTTAACATTCAAACAGAAGTCCCACTGTCTACTATAGAATATATAGAATACATCTCTCCGTTTCCAGATGCACAGGCCTGGAAGAGTCTATTATACAAAACAAATTAGTGTTTTGCCAGTCAAAGGTTTGGACACACCCTCTCATTCAATTTCTTTTTTAAAGCTACTTTTTACATTTCATATACACATACAGAAGACATCAAGAATATGAAGCAAGGTATATTGAATTATGTAAAACAAAAACAAATGTGAATAAATCATTTTTCGACAACTCAAAGGGTTGCTACTTTGAGATTTTGAATATAAAATATATATATATTTTTAAATAGTATAAACTATGTAGTTACTTAACTTCGCTTCCATCAATCTGCCCCAGAGCAGTTGTGGCTACAATAGTAGTTTGCCACCACCAAGTGTGGAGTGAATGAATAATGCTCTGTAAAGAGTCTTTGAGTGTTTCTTTGCTACATAAAGCCATGTAGCTTTCTTCATAGGCTATATTTGATGTCTTTTGTGGTAGAGCATTTTTGTTGACCAAAAGGATGTTGCAATATCATATCTAGGCCTATTTAGAGAGTGTGTTGTTGGCTGAAGAGTCTTTGTCACAGCACACCAAACCTACGCACTTGACATTTTCATGTCTAGATATGAAAAAACAACAACTTTGAATTCCAGATAGAATAGTAATTATTTTCTTTGCCTGTAATAAACATGTTTTAAATAGTCATAGTGGTGTCTTTATTATGGATACATGGTGTAGCTGCTAGGGGAGGGAGACATGTCATTGCTTGGCCTGGAATGCTCCACACTTTAGATTTTGTTGTCCCCAAGGAGACAGTCTTTTCCACAAACACACTGCTCATCTGGCAAATACACAGACAACAACAACAGAGCATATTACAGTACACTCAGTGAGGCCTGTTGTTCAAAAATGTAATGGCTCCGACCAGAGGGCAGAGGGGTGAGGTGTTCCTGTAGTGGGAACCTCTTTGGAGCAGTTTACTCAGAAGCCACAGGTTTTAGTATTTTTACAGCTCTGCTCTCAGTAAAAAAGTGAAAATGTAATCAATAATCACTGTTCAATGCGTAACATAACATAACATTCAAAGTAAGTACAGTGTGTACAAATGTCAGGTTAGATCTGTGCAAAGGTGACCCCACTGTAAATAGGTTTTTAATGCCATAGAAGTAAGACAATGACATACTGTGGAATAATACCTCTATAGAGACAAGCGGTGTGTAGTGAACCCTCCACCCTTTAAAGGTGCACTGTGTAGCTTTTCTGTTTGAAGGTCTGCCACCTGCTTGTCTCCATGGAGATATATGTTGCCTTGATTATACCACAGTATAGAAAGAAACTTGGTAATCATAATGGAGACAGGTCAGTTTTAAGGTATTTTTGAGATATAAAACACCTGTAATTGAACAAATAGCAAGATATCCTTAATGCCCTACTGTAGAACATTACAGGCAAAGAAATAATATCTCCACAGAGACAAGCAGGTAGCAGATTCTCCACCATAGAAGTTACACAGTGCACAATTAAAAGAAATATTAAAAACAACCCTAATATGGTCCCAGAACCCAATGAAATGTCTTTCTTTTGAAGCCTGTGGATTAATCTTTGAGGTTTACCATTGTCAGGGAATTCTACCCAAAAGACATCAAAAATACATTAAATAAAGACACACCAGAAAGAGACGGTTAAAATTTATACTTACGCAAGGAGAGTCGTGAACACTGTCTGTCAGCTCCCTGACCTACTCTGCTCAACAACTCTCCAAGTCACACTTTTATTGAAAATCATTTCACAGATAAGCATACTTGATGAACATCACAATACATACATTTCACATGTTATCTTATAACTAACAATCGTCAACTGAACCACCCTCCCATTTCACTCTTGATTACACATCCCAAAGATAGACAATTGGTTCCCCAAGGCCTTCAGTTTTAACATAAGATGGGACAAACCCAGAATTGTTGGCGCTCATAGTAGATTAGCTTAATCTGTCAATTGACATGTCATTCATATCTGATGCCGTTTTCATGTCACGTACATCCTGAACCAAAACAGACCCAAAGCAATGTTGATTACACCATGATTAATATTTAAATGTTTCACCCTTTAAATGATTAATACTTTAATGAAAGAATTACATATAGAAACAGTAACACTTTAATGAGACTTTAATCAAAGAAATACATTTATATCATAGAATTCTCTAACAACCACCATACCTTTACCACAGACAAGCCTACAGGTGCAACAAGGTTCTCAAAGTATAGCTTATATAAAATGATGTTGTCATCAATTTAGATTCTAGATTTAAATTCTTCTAAATGCCTATCACAGAACACTTTAACACTTTTAGACCGAAAATGTTACTTTTCACATGGGAAGAGGCACATCCAACAGCATGCTGGACAAAAACGTGGAGTTTGTAGTACACTAACCATAGGACATGTGCAGCAGGTCACAGGCACTACACATTAGTCTAATTATTTGTTTTAATTCTGTACAAACCTTAAACGCATCGTTACGATATATTAATAATTAGCCTGTAAATGCTACTCACGGTGAGCGTGTGGGTTAAATTGGGTAACGTGTGAGGCAGAGGCGCTTTCTCCAGTGGGCGGGGCCTGGGGAGTAGGCTGGTCGGCGCTTTTAATACAGATGCGCTGTCCGCTCGCCCTGCGCTCATCAGCGGGCGGTGGACACAGCCAAGCCGGGGGAAGATCACACCGAGCAAGAGGACAACCATGACTGCACCCAACAGCACCTACGATGTGATAGTGGTCGGCGGAGGCATATCAGGTAAACGACATAGCTTATTGGATAAAACTTTACTTTTTCAGTGGTCATGAGTTGTTCTGGAGGGAGAAATAGAGCAGATGCGCTGAGATGCATCGTTTACTTCTGTCGCTGGGCGCCTTGTTGTGTAAGGTGTTTTGACAGCAAGCCAAAAGCACCAAAGATGTGTAGCGCATTTACTTTGCCAATGAAGTGCACAATCTTCTGCATTTCAGACGGTTCCTTTCTGTATGCACCGTCTCATCTGCTCGTGTCTTCCGTGAGCCTGCTGATCTCCCTGGTCCTGTCGCTGCAGCAGCTTCTGTTTAGTGGCCGCTAATAACTCAGTTTGTAGGATATTACATAACACAGGACGGGCTCTCTCCTATTTGCCTACTAATCTTACGCGCTGCTCCGTAACTTTCGTCTAAGTGGTTTCCTTTCCCCCGTCTTTAGACTGATCCAGAGAGATGCCTTTCATGTGGACAGATGTGTTTATACCTGTGGGTGGCGTTATTATTTTGAAGGGCAGAGCAGCCCTTTATTTACACAACTTTATGCTCATTTTGATTGGCACCTTTGCAGGAGCCTGTGTTGTAACATTTGTTGCATTGAAAACTGATAATAATGTCATAGCTTGTGTTTTATTTATTGAATGAAATTCAATGCACACAAAACATTTAGGAAGCAAAGTTAAATGTCTAGTCTTGTCACTTCAGCTATCTACTCTGCACTACTCACAACTATAGGCCTATACAGGTTTTTACAGGTTCTTTTAGCCTGCATACTAACAAAGCAGAATTCCGAACATAATCTGCGCTTTCTCACTTACATTTTGCTAAAGGGGAACTCATATATAACCCCTTGCAATTGTCTTTTTTCAGTATGAAGCTGATTGACTTATGTCCAGACTGATCAAGAGTTTGACTTTTCGTATGCCCTGATTTAGGTGTTTCAGTTTGAATTGAAACCAGAGGGTCATAAAGAAAGGAAAAACTAATAAATTCAAACTGTTATAGTACCTCTGTAGGCCATGTACCTTTGAACTTGCTGCAACATGTAATTACCCAGTGTGGTTTATCAGTGGCCTCTACTGGCTTTAAGGGCAGATTGTCTATTAGGCCTATAGCTAATATCCAATCAGAAAGCAGAGAAGAGCATGTGCGCTGATAAAATACTGTAGTTGTTATGCAGCTCTGTGTCAGGTCTTCAATTTCACAATAAAGCAACCAACAGTGTTGAAGTATAACAATATAGCCACTTGATTTCAACAAAAAATGTAAATATGCCTTTTTTCATGAGGGCCTGAATCAGTAAAACTAGTCTTGATCTGGTTTAATCCATTATGAACTTATCTATGCATTGTTAATTTTGACATATCACGGTTATTTAGACTTAGACTTTTTTGATCCACAAAGGAAATTATTTGGACACTGTAGCTCGCACATCACAATGTATTATAATAAAGAGAAAAAATATATTTATATGATAATTATAAATTCTAAATATGTACCAAAATTATCAAGAGATTGGTGTCAAATAAGGTATAATTATCTAAATGTATATGCACAAGTAAAATTAAAGTATAATAGAACTAAGTAAATAATACAAAAGTAAGAAATATGTAATAAATATATCTCAGCAGTATACTATTTCAAATACAGTTGAATAGTCTACTTGGGGATAGGCTGCGTTTCCTCTCTGTTTTCTGTAAATGTAATTGTCATAACCGTGCCCACCCGCCAGCACCAGTCAGATGTGACCCAGGGGGGCAGCTGGGACTTTAAAGAAAACATTAAGTGATTGTGACAGGCTCCTATCAAAGCACAAAGTCGCACAAAGGCTGCAGAGCAAAGGGGGAGGTGTGGGGAGAACAAGGAACCAGTGTTTTGTGTAGGCGGATGTGAATGTGGGAAACCTGCAAAAAGAAGGAAGGAAGGAAGAAGATATGCATTTAACATAATGATATTTCTTGACTGGTGGATTAAGATGTTGATCTGGCATGATAACGACCTATTGTTTAGAATTATTTATTACTACAATGGTGTAAGTGTAATTATTTATCATAAGGGTGGGTGAACATGAATAATTAGCCCACAGGGAATGTTTAGTGATATCATGGCAATCTATCAAAATGTCCTCGAACTTGCTTGTCTTGGTTGAGGCTCAAGTACATTTAGAACTATTTAAAACTTTATTTGATATATTATTATATATATAATATTATAGTCAATAGAATGAAAATACTGCAACCATTTTATAATTTCATGAGTAATAAAATAATTAAAGTCATTTTGTAAGTAACAAGAATTAACTTTTGTCATTGTCATGTCATTTTTACATTTTTATCGTTCTCAATGAAGCAAATTCCACTTTCATTTGTGATCCTTTTTTTTTTTACACTTTGGTCTAATATGTGTGAATTGTCTATGCTGGATAATAGGGGTGTAACAACGTCCAAGTCTCACAATATGATATCATCAAGGTATGAACATCACGGTACGATATTTTTTGTGATATTGTGGGAAAGCTTAAGGATGTAACAATATCCAAACCTCTCGGGATAATATTTTCATGATATACATCTCACAGGACAATATTTATTGTGATATTTTGTGGAGGCTAAACAGCTAAAAAGTGTAAATATGCTACATTTTCCTCTTAAAATGCCTTGACAAGACTTAATCCAAAGAACTAAGACTTAAAAGTGCTGAGAACTGTTATTTCTTCATGTAGTCTACACTGAAATTGAGCAAAGGATCATGGTCTATGTAGTTCCCTCTGTCTTTTTTTAGCCTTTGCTGCACCATAACTCTTATTTTAAGCAAAGAGATTTGTAATTCAATATATTGTGATGGCCCACAATATTATTGAGAACGCTGACGATACAATCTCACAATATTTCAGTTATTGTTACATCCCTACTGAATAATTTTGCCTTGCTGTTTGACCAGTGATACGATCAGAATTTATTTGAGTTTATGTAACGTAAGATAAACAGTTTTACGTGTTTACATGTGATAGTATGCTCTCAGCCCCCTCTAGGCCACTGCCAAAAACAACTGTTGATTTTACTGACCACACAAAGACACTGGTTTCGTTTCCATTCTTCCTTACATATTGATAATCGTATTGTTTTATGTTTGCTTGTGGTATCAGAATCCCTTTGCCATCCTCTGGCTTGTTATGTCATGCTATCAGTGAGTGGACGTCAAGATAATTAGCAATGACATTGTTCTTCAGATGTCTCAGTCGCTATGGCAACACATCAATCCTGGAGCAGCACTTTCTGGTCCAGCTGAGCAAACTCCCAACTGTCACATTATAATCATTATGGACACCCGCTGTGTAATTTTCTCCGTTTGTCTCAAGTGTAGTATTTGTGCGTGAGGAAGACGGTAATCTCAGCTATGTTGGCTTATATGAGTGCGTTTTGAATTTCCTTCAGTATAAATAAAGTATCTATCTATTTGTATCTGTACAATAATGGCAAAACAGTAGACTAATTTCAGTTTTTTTCCTCAGATTGATTGATCACATTTCTCTTTTTGTTTTTAAAGGGAAAGTCCAGAATTTTAGACTTAGGACCTCATTTTCTAGTGAGCCAGAGTGTTAGAGACGTGTGGAGACACTTGGCCATAGTAAGCCTGCCACTAAAAACAGTCTTACCCACTCCACAAAACACCGAAAGCAAATCTATTATTATGCCAGACTGTCGATGTGAATGTCTGTGTCAATAGAATAATTTTACAAAAAAAAAAACACCTTGGATTTGAAGGATTTATGTCTGAGCAGCAGCCGCGAGTTGTACTCCCTGATAGAAAGCTTGGCAGTGGCGGACTGATATATGAGAAAATAGTCCGTCAACATGCAACAATTCATGTGATGCAAGTATGGTTTTATTTCAAACATTATTCTATCAACACAGACATTTACATTGATAGTCTAGTGTAATAATAGATTTGCTTCGGGTGTTTTGTGGAGTGGGTAAGACTGTTTTTAGTAGCAGGCTAACTTTGGCCAGTGACATGCACTAGCCTAACATCAGCGACCTCTGCAAATACAAGGACTGGATGGAATATTTTAAAAAGTGTCTCTAGACGTCTCTAACACTAGGAAATGAGGCCCTATGTCCAAAATTCTGGACTGTCCCTTTAATCATAATGTTCTTGAACAAGGAGACCAAATAAATGTCATCTTAAGCTTCATTGTGTAACTTGCCACAGAGTTCACTTTTTGAAGTTTATTTGTTATTAAATGAAATTGCAGGCAGTGATTTATCTTAAAATTAATCCTTAACTCTGGAGATCTGGTTTACCTTTTACCTTCTTATATCATCAAAAACGGTCCCTGGAGATGTTTGTGAAAAATAGACTTTATTATAAAGCTCTGTACGTATAACGTTTACTGATACTGATGTGAATGATGTTAAATGATGTGAAGTTGATAAAATAGCATAAAAGCAATGTGCTCTAACTAAATGTGTAGATGTTGTAGCCTACGTAACAGCATTGATTAAAATTTTGTTTGTGTTTTTATTTATTAATTTCTTTTCTACAATCAACATTTCTAAGCAGTCAATTAACGTTAAGCAAATGAACAGTGTTTAACAAAAAGCATTTTGAGATTGTTTCCCTTCAAATTGCCTAATTAATAGACAAAAATGCTAATCGGTAATACACAAATGTACACTTTTTGAATCATGAAACAGTGGTTGAATCATTAAAACAAAAAACAATATTGGTTTAAAAATACATTCATAGCTTAATTAGTGTTTTTATTATTGATTAGCTGCAGAAATCCACTTCTACCATCAGTCTTGAACATTGTAAATCTAACTTTTTCTTTTTCATCTAAACTTGATACTGTGTACATCCTGGTGCACAACAATAATCCACAAATGTCTGAAACTGCGATAAAATTTGTTAATTTTGTCAGAGGCGGCTAGTTTCTGTGGGAATTGTCCTGTGACCTCAGCTGCTCTGTCCAGATGGGACAGAGGTGTGTGCCGGTGTGGGACTGTG